AAGACTAACATGGAATCATCTCTTCAGACACATGAGGAAACCACTCTACACAGCTCCCACGCATGCCATTCAGGTGTAAGGTGCAGTGATAGGTGCTGCTGAGTGGTAATTTTGTTGTTTCATTTGAAATAAATGAACAGAAAATCTAATCTAGTGAGCATTCAAGCATTCCTTCAGACTGTTACATCTCATCAAAGAGACCTTCTGGACTGCTGTTTCTCAGAGTTTCCAAAGACATGTTCTCGGCTGAGATGTGCTCCTCCTTCAAAGTCCCGGGTCTTGAAGTGTCAAGCTTGTCCTTCCCCTCAAGCTGAGTTCCAAGGGGAGCCACTTTCGCCTCTGTTCCAAGATCCTGCTGCATCCACTGCCTCCTCTTTCGACTTGGTGCAACATCCGGGACATCGGGGCTCCAGATAAGGGAGTCCTCTTTGCTTAAAGTAGCTGGGGCCGACACTGAGGGCTCAGCCTCATTTCCACTTCCCTCATCCGTACTCACATCGTAGGCAGGGTCACAGGCGGCTAGGGTTTCAGAACTGGCTGTACCTTCCCTTCCATGTTCAATATTCTTTTCCAGTTCTTGAACTTCATTGAGAAGCTTGTGGAGGCTTCTGATCTTGGACTTCTTCTCATTCAGCACCAGAATAAACCGCTTATACAGATCGGCCTCCAAGCCTTCCTTGGCACGCACACATTTTTCCAATCGGCTCTCAACATCATTCCAGTCTCTCAGGAGTCTTTCATTTTCTCTCTGTAGTTGCTCACTTTGGGCTTTGTTTTCTGCAATGCTGTCCAAACAGTAACAAAGAAGTTCTCTAATGACCTCAGCTGGGTTCTCAGCTTTCTGTAAGTCGAAGGAACCAAGCCTAAATGAAACATCTTTCAGGTTTTTCTTGCAGGAGAAACAACAATCCCTTTCGCAAAAGTCAAACTTGTATGCATCCCCGGGTCCCGCTCCCGACACCAGGGCTTTCCTCAGCTCATCCACGTATTTTTCTTTCTCCATCGCCATGTCATCTGCTTCTCGGCCAATCTCAGACTCAGAAACTGTTCCAGTCCACGCTGACTGACCATCAGTAAGAGTAACAACAAAACCAGATCCTAGCGTTTTCTCCCAAGACACTTGTAAAAAATGAGTTACATTGGGTTTGGAAGCAAAATAGACTCTGCTTATCTTCTCCTCCATTTCTGGTTACCTCTCAGTGACCCCACTTCCGGTCTCCCCCCTGTTCTAATAGTGTTTGTAAATTGGATATCATGTCTGCATCTTGTACAGCAAATAACAACTAGGAAGAGAGTATGCAATGTGTTAATTATTGAAACTGCACTATCAATTTGATTTGAAACTGTCTAATAACTATTTGTTTCTCAATGAAATTGTGAAAAATAACGATTCAAAATTTATGGAAAAAATAATTATATGCAGCAACACTAATATAATGCATAGTGAGATTTAGCAGTTGACAAACTTTTCCATCTAATTGGGTTTTTATTTTAGATGGTAGGAACAAACATTAAAACTATATAGCTAAACAGATAGTAGATTTGGAATCTGTACTTAAGTCACTTCCCCTAAGTTCGGTCTGATCACTACCCCTTTTGTACCTGTAGTCTTCCAGGCAGACTAGTTCATCCCAGTTAACTGTTGCTCCCTCTCTCAATCAAGAGAGTAAGAGAGAGTATGTTCTCATACATTTGGGTCTAGCAAATTGTGTCAGCTTACTGGCTTTCCATCTATGAATTTCGAACTTGTCCAGGTGGGTCTGACTTGAGTCTGGCTGCTTTGCTCTGGTTCATCCAGCTTCAGTCTGTGGAAGTGAACCTACTTTGTCCCTCTGGGAATATGTTCTGCTCCTGGATCAATTAGGTGGGTCTCACATCTTGCCCCTCTGCAGAGAGTTCTGCTGCAGGGTTCCACAGCAGGCCTGTCTGATGGAGGATGTTCCACTTATATGCCAGGCCTGGGCACTAGCTGGAGTAGAATTTGACGAATGCGGGGAAGGTCCCACAGAAATGCTGGGTCTAGGCACTGGGTGGAGAGAAATCTTTATTTGTATGTTCACCAACAGCAGTCCTGTCTTCTAGATTGGATATTGTCACTGCATTCAATTGTCTTACTGCACGTACATTAAATGATATTTTTGATTTCTGGGATATATATTTGATAGGTTTTTATGTATTTTATGTCTTTCTTATTTTGAGTTTTCATGAATTCCATCATTTTTCCTAGGCCCTCTTTTTTTATTTGTATGTGCCCTACAGTGACCAAACATGTCTTTCATCATGGTCAGCATCAGTATAAACACTTGTGCAATCATTTTTGATTCATTCTTTTTTCTAGAGTCTTATTGATCTGCTTTATTACTTCTGCTGTTACTTATTCAGAGAGTTAGGTGGTGGCTTTTGAATTCTTTCACCTCATTGCTCCATGAAACTTGCATTTGTTGAGTTTTATGTCTTGGAATGCATCATGCTTCCGTGTCTTTACATTTTATATTCTTTTATGTTTAATTCCTAAGTTCATGATTGTGAATTGCTTATGGGATGTGGCTTTATTGCTAGTATGAAGAACAATTAAGAAATGTCAACTTCTCAAAGAT